ATATTACAAGTTAATAATTGGTATGTTCATCGCGTGACAATAAGCAACTGTCACATACGTTTTAATTTTTTCTTTTTTTTCTTTTCTTTTTTCGATTTCATTTCATATATATGCACATCCGTTTTTAAAACGTGTCATAATAGTAGATCGAAAATTAAACCTACAATTAAATTGTCATCTATTCATCAAAAGAATCAATATGAAAGCTTATTATATTCTTTCGATATTTTTTTTTTGTTTAAATACATATATACAAACCGTTATGATCATTTTTTTGTATTCAAAAGATGAACAAAGTTTCAAAATTATGACAGTCTCGGATATCTATTTGTATTCTTAAGATTTTAAGGGAGGGGAATCGATATAGCAAAAAAAAACAATAAAATGAAAGTTTTTCAAATTGAAAATTTTTCTGCTGCAGAAACACCTCCGGATGGAGCGAATTGCTAAGATGTCTACGGGAGAAGATAATGAAACGCAGTGTCTTCACTTGTATACTAATGAGTTGTGTAGTCGTATTTTGAATAAAAAGGGTAAAATAAGTTTACCAGACAATAGAATATTTGAGTGTATGACTTTTGTTGACATGATTCAAATATGAATAACTAAGATTTTTCGATATTTGAATTTACATCAATAACGACTTGATAATACTATCTATCATATGATAAAAATAAAAAAACATTTAATCGAGTTAGTAATCTTCCTGAGATGATTATATTCTCTATAGGAAAATTTACTTCAGCTTTTTCGAAGTGTCATCATCATCATCATTTGAGTTAATCAATTTACACTCGTCATATTCCATCTGATCAATTGTTTGAATGATGAACTGTGTTAAAAACAGTTAACACTCACTGGAAATTTTCGTTCTTCTTTTTTGTTTCGAACATGCAACTATGCTTGATCTTTTACTATGATCATTAGATTTGTTCTTTTTCTTCTTTCAAGGAGATATGCGCGGACAAACATTAGAAGATAATACTTCAACTCATCAATCATTCTTTTTGTTTTGTAGTCTATTGTTGTAAACATAGTGTTGACAGGTTTCAATCATCGAATAGACATCTACTTGACGAAAAGATGCAGCTGTTTTTTCTATTACTTGATTTGTGAGCTTTGTTTTTTTCTTTTGTTAATTAATAGGTTTATTAATGCTCGAAGACGTATTGTACAACCAATGATTGATCAATCGAATCGTGCTGGTAAATAAATTTTATTTATTATGATGACATACAAAAAAATAAATAAACTTAGATGTTATATGCATGATTTGATTTCTTATGTGTAAGGATAAGATACAGATCATTAAAATTTCGAAATGAAAAAAAAAGTGTTTAAGAAAATATCTTATCATAAATAAATTCATTGTTTCTTGATGTTGTTTTTAATTTTATCTATAGCAATGATGGGAACAGTTTATAATGATTTTCTGCCTACTAATCCTTATCATACAATTGATCCAAGTCAAAAAACATACGAATTTCAGACAAGTATGTTATCAATAGATTTTGTTTTAATATGAACTTCGATTCTTTGTTTTTTTCGATAGATATATATGATGAAATAGCAAGAACATCAGCATATCGATCACCACCAATAACAAATTATACATCCATGCAGTCAAATTCATTTTTTACTGCAGTTACTGATCCAAGTAATACATTGTTATCAACACAATATGGTATATCACCATCATCTTATCATAGACACGAAAGTGTAGATTAGATTATGTTTTTCTTCATCTTTTTTTTAATATGTATTGTGTGCATATGTATCTCTTGTATTTCGTTTTTGATACAATAAAATAGATACTGTGATGAAGCAGTTTTTTCAAATACTGGATAATTTACCGTGACTATTGAAATTGTTTATTAAAAATTATTTACAACTGTTTTCCTGCAATGTTAAACGCTAGTAAGAATTTACATAGTAAAAACAATAAAATGCTTCCTAAATACCCTGAAACCCAAGTTTTTCAGCCGCTAGAACGCGTAAATAGAATTTTGTTTTGATTAAATAGAACAATAGAAAAGACAATTCTCTATAATGCTTTTTAACTGAGTGAAGACGTTAAAATAGTTTTTGCATGGGAAATAATAAGAAGCTACTGGCGCAATCTTTGCAGTATTAAAACGTTAAACATGATATAGTTGCTGTTGTTAATCACAGAGAAATTGTTTAATTCTATCTATTAGGGATACATTTCTTCAACATTCTTTTACTTAATTCTCAAGAAATACAATAAAAAAATATTCTTAACGGGTAATACCTACATATGAGTTGATGGAACTCGTCGAAAAGTGACCTGAATCTCCAGTTAATGATAATTAGTTGCCTTGAAATTTTCTTCAGTGAGTACCTAGCTATAACAGCTTTGTATATTGATAATCACTGATTCAATCTAAATTATTGGAAAGTCTTTTTAAACATCAACTTGTATTTAGAACGAGGTTTCCTCTACGAAATATTCGATCTATTTCTTTTTACATATTGCTACAAATGATCAGAATTTATTGCATAATAAATATCAAATTGTGAAAGAAGCAATTTGTTTGAAAATGTCGTCGCATGTAAAGAATAGCTGTTCAAAAAGTGTATATAAAATTCGATTGTTTTTGAGTTCTAACTTACTGTAATGTATGATGTTCTAGAAAATTAAAGTCGGTCCAACACCAGAAAGTCAAAACAATTCGAAAATCTCATTTAGAGATTTAATGAATAACAGAGAAAAGCTTATTTTGTTCAATTCAAACAATACTTTTTATTTATTTATTTAAATATTCGATCACAACTGACAGACTGTAAATCAGTAACAAATTCTGAACATACATTTAGAACGAGTATCGAATTCTGGTTCTAAATGACTGCTTTTAAGTTTCTTCAATGATGTCGAAGTCTTCGAAAAATAAGCATGCATATTTGTCTATACATTTTAATGCAACATTTTGTACAAACATCGGTATTTGTTCTCAGTGAACTAACTTTAAGCCACAATAAAAACTCTGATTCTTGATGATTATTTTTAATTATCTTTAGTGACTTATAAATGAACGAAAATTAATCACACATATTGCGGAAAAACTTTGTACAAGTATATTAATTAAGTTTTTTCAAAGAAAAATATTTTCTGAATTCTATTAGATATATCAAGTAAAAAACCCATTCAAGTTTGACAGTAATTGCTAGTTCTTAGCTGAGAAGTTTTTACGGCAGTGCGCACTTTTCTTTTCTGGTGTTTTAGTATATTATATCATGAAAACAAAAATTATTAAACTTCATAAATCAAGATTAAAGACTCAAACAGCAATTGACTATTGTAAAAAGTTTCACAACATCATATTGAAATTCTATTCTATGATTTTAATTTCGTTAGAATAAAAAATGTAAACTGTTTTAGAATGCAATCGTAACATAGTAATATACGGTAGAAGACGATTGTTTAATTCATACAAATCACAATTCGAGTATACTTAATCATAGTATAATTTATCAAAACTCATATATAGCTTTCAAATTTACTCTCCGTCATGGACATTTATCCTTGAAAACGAACGATGAAAATATCTTTGCTTTAGATGAGTATCAAAGACAAGGTAGGCATGATGTATTCGATGAATGATAATAAAAAAGCAAGAGAAAAGAAATATTTTGAATAGAAAGAAAAAAATTATCGAGTCAATGAATCTAACGTCTTCTATTAAGTTAAATACACGTGGTTATACACACGGTTCGTATTGACAAATTTGTTTCGTAGTTATATCCATCCATAAAATAAAGTCGGTCGTTTATTTTTCCTTCAGATCTATATATTGATAAGAGAGAAAAATACTGTTTTCTTATTCAAGGTAATAAAAAAGCAATCAAAGACATGGCGACGATGCTTATTGACAAAGGCTTATCATTTATTAAATCAGGTTCACGAGTTTTCGTTCATGGTAAGTATAACACTATCTGTTTGATATAAATTAGGAATTAATGATAATTGTTCGAAAGTATAAGATATAAAAGCAAGTTGAATAGCTGATAGATGCGTGATTTATTATTCATAAGTTTATTGAAGAATGATAAAAGTTAAGAGTATACATATACATTATTGACTATGATACGTATTTTACCGCTTGAGCGGTAGAAAAAATTAACACAAAAGGAAAGTGAAACAAAATAGGGTGACGGTGAAATGATGGCTTACATCGAAGCTCATACATATCCTCACATTACATACACAGGAGGCTAAATAGAGTGGCGAATAATAAAATAGAAAAATATGTAAAAAAATGACTTTCAACGGTAATTTAGAGTTGTTATTTGTTTTATAAACCGTTCGATATTTGATATTTTACCTTGTGCAATTTTTCCCTTTGGTTTTACTCTTTTTTCAATAATGATCACTGATCTTGAATTTTTTCAGAGATCCAATCACTACTTGACTTATATAATTATTAGTATGAAACTTTTCAATGATAGATCACTGTAGTGGCTTTTATTACTTTTCCAAGAAATAATTTTTATATTTTTGTATGTTTCATTGAATAAAAACTATTGTTATATTAGAATCATCAATTTGACAAGTATTAGTCAAGTAAATTAATTAGTTTATCATGATAACCATCGCTTCACCATAAATTCTTTTCGCGTTAGTGATAATCATTTCATAAGTAAAATGAATATTAGGAAGTTAATAGTTGCTATGATTGAAAACTATTCTGAGTGTATAAAATCAATGAAAAGACATTGAATATTTTTTTTATGTGAAAATATAATAAAAGTCGCTTAATGACAATATTCGAAATAGATACAATTAATATTCTTCGATTTTCTTTCTTCTTCCTAGGTTGCACAGGTACACCTAAATACCTCAGTGGTCTACTGGCCAAGCGTGCTAATGAACT